TGCAACATTTTCAATTTTGGACTTTCTTTAGGGATTCTTTTTTCTCTATTTTAAGATATTTATTTCATCTTAAGGCATCGAACAGCTAGCAAGCAGGTTCGAATCTTAGCAAAATGTCTGGTTTACGATTTTTATAGATTTGTCTGGGCCTCTCACATAGCTATGTGATGTTGGTAAGTATACTGTGTGGATAAATAGTGACGCTTTAGATTGGAACGCTGTTTTTGTTGGTTGTTTGTTTATTTGTTTGTTTTGTGTGTTTTGTTTTTTTCCTCAAGAAACTCATTGTTAAGAACATGCATTTAAACCTCAAGTTTCAAGTTTTATTTACATATCCTACACGTGGTTCATTGCATATTGCGGATAAATTTGTTAATTGAATTTTTTATCACGTTTTTTTTGTGTATTTATCCTTATAAGATTTGTAAAGTTCATTGACCGCAAAACCACACTTCTTTCTCTAAATGCCGCATCATACGAAACAATATTCTGCGAAAATCGGACATCATGTATTCGAATCTCCGGAAGGAAATTGTCCGCTTTTATCATAACAGAATGACACAAGAAAGTTCATAGATGAACTAACGCGCGTTTAAATTTGCAGTTACTTGGTGGTATTTTATGTATGTAGGTTAAGTATAATAAAATTATTACTCCGCGTCATAAAGTTAATATGATGTATGATGCAGCGACAAGATCAGATTTTATGTTGTTTTCTTCCCACTACATTTCATTAACCTATTACTAAATGCACATTACACATGATGATGATTGGCTACATATCAACATGGGAGACGACATTTTATGACTGAATTTTTAATGGTGAATCACGAGGGATTTCAAAATAAAAAAAATCTTTTTCAGAAAATATTTTTTAAAAACTTGTGTGTTTAACACTTTAAAGTAATGTTATATATTTGAATACGCGTCTTGTTTCGTTTTTGATCTGCTTACTCAAGAAAACATCCTTCTCCATTTTATGATAATACCTGGATCAGTTTAATAATAATAATAATAATAATAATAATAATAATAAAGACTTTATTTAACGAGAGAACTCATTTGAACAAACATATCAATCTTCCATGAGGCCCTCAACAAGGAACAATGTAAATTTAACATATTCAAACTATTAAAATACATAAATGTAAAAAAACATACAGGAGATTATCAATTTGCATACATGGATGTGTGATAATACCTCAAGTATAAGGTTTTAAAATGGTTAACAGATGTAGCAGACTTAATATAATCAGGAAGGCCATTCCAAATACAAGATCCAGAATAAACAAAAGACTTACGAAATTGTTCAGTATTTGGTCTAGGGGTATAAAGTTGAAAATCAGATGATGAACGCAAAATGCGAGTATGAACATCTGACGATAAAATGAAATTATTCAATAAATAGGTAGGCGCCTGATTATTCATTATTTTAAACATCATAGTAGCTTTTTGAAAAACAACCCTCTGTGAAAAGGTCATCCAGCGGAGTTCAAAACCTTGATTTGAACCTCTTGTGTAAATATTTTTAAAAATTGGTGAATCGCGTTCCGCTTATTTTTATTTACTTGCAATTTAACTTTTATGAAGAGGGCATATTTTCGTGACAAGATTATGACATTGTAATCAAAAACGACCCAAGCAATAAATAACCAAAAAACGTAGTACTTTTAGCGCTCATACAAATTCGTCGTAAGGCCCCCATCTTAACGCGAATACGTTGTACTCAACGAATAAAGGATATTAAATGTACGCATTTGAACTTGACTCTGTACACATCTATCTATAGATATATTTTGTTTTGTCATACATCTTATTACTGTGAGAATGGAAGACAATTCAACACATTAAGTTAACCGCCCAACAACCTACGATCATGTCTATGAATATTACTCAGAATGTTTCCCTACATGATTCATTACATTTTCCTTTATACATATTTCCGTGTTTAGAAAATAACTTATTTTAATGATTGTCGCCTCCTAGAATAGACACATCTGGTGTATATACGTGTTCATGATTTCTAACTACAAGTTGTAAACACTTTACGCAGAATTTTATTAATTGAGAGAAGACATATAGCGTATGAAAGAAACCGCAAACAACGCGCATATATTCACGTTAATTTAACGTAAAGTGGGCCGTAACGTAAAGCTGTTTTCAACACGCATATTTTACGCTATTACTGTTTCATTAATGAATTTAATGACAATTTAGATGAAAACATGTTGCTTTTTATGTAAATTTTATAAGGTTTTATTTTACCGTAACTAATACTTACTCCAAAAAAGATAATTCTGATATTCATATCCCATTTATATCTTAAATAATAAAGTATCTTCTGATATTTTCAAACGCATTTAATTAATTTTGGAAACATAAATTCAATGCGGATGCGTCTATAGAATTAGATTTATAATCATGTTCAATATCTGAAAATAACTGCAATTTCTCGTTTTGGATTTATTTCCGTTGAAAAAAAAATGTGAGATCTATTTCCTTGAGGAAAAAAACAACAAACAATTGTCTTAGTAATAATTGTAAAAAGGTTAAGATTTAAATGTCAAATAAAAAATGATTCAATAACTATAAATGAGCCTCCGTGGTAACATCTTTAAATTTTAATTGAAATAAAACATGTAGCGTTTCATTTATCTAGAGAGTTCGCCGAACTCAATATAATAACCCGGAAATGACAATTTATTCTTAGAAATATAATAGAGGTTATAAGATTCCTTACTGAAAATAATTGTACTTTAAACAACTGATTTTTTCCCATGTTTATAGGTAGATAGATATCTTCTTCCTCAATATTTATTTTGCTTATCTGATCCTTTTCTTGTCAATAAAATAATTTCTTTTATCAAGTACATTTCTTAAAACAAAACGGAACCATACTGAGTTCATTGGATTTCGCCATCATTTCGGAAGGTAACAATTTGCTCGTGAAAATTAGTATTTCCCCTGCATTCAATCTGAGCAGTAATTATAACAGCAGACGAAAATCCTAGAATAGACATCTCACAATTTTCCAAGTAAACTGGCAAAGCTGAAGCTATTTAAAGTAACGTCTGCTGACAAAAGAACGCGATTATTACATAAAAAAAGTTCAAAGAAAATTATAAACTGTCTCATGTAACGTTTAATTTTCAACCTTTCTATTCATTGTGACTACAGTAGAGATAAAAAATAGTTTGCTTTCCACCTTATTTGACCTTTTGAACTTTGATAAACGCTATTCTAGGAAATGTATCTAGAATCTATATACAAGTTTATATAACGTAGAGCTGTGAGCGATTTCATGCAAGGAAAACGTATTTTATTATTGATTTTTCCATGAAAAGAAAATAATGATGTATTGCACACGCGAGTTTAAAAATATATTCTAAAAAACCAATTCACTTATGTTTAATTAAAAATATCCCGAAGGAGCGTTTATTATACGTACCAAGTTTTTGATCGACCGGAAGTAAAATTATATAATTTGGTTTAGAATAGAAAAAAAAATAATTTAAAAAAGTTCTTCCTTTTTATTATATTCAAACTCAATACAAAAATTTGCTCCTGTATAATTTAAAATGTTGAAAAACATAGAAATCATAAAAAAAAATATTTAAATGACGTGTAAAACTGGGACTAAAACCTATCCTTAGTGACAATTGTTTCATAAACAATCTTTACTATACAGTATACATGTGTATTTCGAAATCGTCCAGAAATATGAAATCGCACTCGACGTGAATCGCGCCCTTCCTTGTACCGTGTATGATTAAACCCCTTCAGAAATACGGTGTTTAGAAATACGGTGAATTATTTGTCAATGAGAAGCGTTAATCAATAATAAGGAACGGTGACCCAAAGCAGTGCACGTACAAAAAAAGAGACACTGTCATTATTAAAAGTATACATTTTTTGCTGTTTAAATAACTTCTATATCGGTTATACCCTATCAAGTTTGCGGTTCGCATTGATAACCAGTTAACCCTTTCAAGATAACAGTTTTCGGGAAATCTATCAATGAATGTTTTATTGTATCGTGTATAAATATATTTTTAAAAATATTAGAATCTACTGGTCGGAGAGATAACTCCGACGCATAGATAACCCCGACACTTGATAAATATAATTGTTTTAGCTTTGTTTTTCAGCAAATAAGCACATGATCACCTAACAGTATAGGAACAGGACAGAATGTGATGATTTGTTATAATTTGGTAGACTTTTTAATGTTTTTCAAATAACCTAAACTTTTTGTAGGCAAAAACTGCTCCAAAACGTTCTTTTTACTAAATTACAGTAAGGTAGTTAGAAATGTATTGACCACAGGCCACTGACTTGGAAAAGATTTTTGAAAAATTGTTTAAATATTTACAAAAAATAGATAAACCATATAAGATGTAAAAATAAATTATTGATGCTGATTTTCAAGTCATTTTTTACTTAAAAATTTAAGTGTCGATTTTATCTACTGTTATGGGGTAAACAGACCATGTTTTGTATACCTCATTCAAGACCTTAAAGAAGTACCAGATTCCATTTTCATACATAGTTTTTGTGGTGTAATGTTAAGTCTTTGAACTGAACTTTGTTTAGGTGGTTCAATATTTAAAATATACTGGAAGATAATTAAAATATTGCAAAAAAAATGTGATTTAGTGTCGGAGTTATCTCTCCAACCAGTATGTATCGGTAACAGGAAAAACCATGAAAGTAACTGCGTTATTTTACAAGATATTAAAATACAAAATCACCTAAACAGAGTTTCGTTCGTTATAAAGACTAATTAAAAGAATGACTTATAAATTTATACTGACCCTTCAACATTGCATTTTGCAAACTTAATCATTTGATTTGATATTCCAGCATTTTTTCTGTCGTTTTCCGAGTTTTAAACTGAAAAAATGATTACTTACTGTATGTATATATCATTCGCTTTTTTCAAATATGAAAAAAGACACAAATGAATTTAAATAAATATACTAGTATAGAAATAAACACAGTTTCGGATTTATTTTACCTATTTATTTATTTTTTCAACCGTTATTCGATAAAATTAATAAATCTACATTTTGATAGACAAACAACACAACAAAATTACTATTGTCTAGTTTATGCTATTCGTCTGAAAACATAAATAAATAATAACTGTTTGGCGAATAAATTATCAGGCTAATATAGGAAAAGAAAATAAAGAAAAAGAAATTCATTCGTTGAAAATATGTCCTCGAAAAAACTTCGGCTCCAAAGTTGAAAGATACATTCTTCTTTACACATATCTGTATACATAATATATAGAATTCTAACTAATTAAAATCCCTGAGAAACAGTTGTAAAAACGAACACAGTATCTTGTACAGATACATTAATTTATCATGTACAAATACATTAATAAATGTACATTAATAGTCGTCATGAGAAAAAAAAACAACAGAACAATCACTTTTGTTAATTGATGCATAACCTGTTCTCTGTTTTCTATCTCACTGTCCTGAATTTGGCACGTTTGATTCTGCAAACATCCGCAGTCGATCGCCGATTCGTCTGTTAGTAATCAGTAATTTTCTTCCGTTAGTCGGCGCCGGTAACTTCCCGGGAACTGTGTCGCGTGCATCTAGTCCATGTATTGCACGTGCGCGGAATTTTATTCCTTTTCAAACACCCGTAATGTTGTTCAGTACAAGTATGGATAATCCTTTAAGTAACTCCGTAAAGGTTTCGGAAGAGGTAGATCATCAACTAGTGAAGGTACTCCCGACGAACTCGCCGCCGGAAGGGATCGGTTTATTAGCGTCCTTGTTAAATGCTTTAAAGTCGGCACAGACGTAATCTTTGGTTTTGACATAACTATTGGTAGATCTTTTTTACCATTTTTATCAAGAAATCTGCATTGTTCTGACTTTTTGCCTTGGCTTTTTCTAATGTAATAATCAATTAGTTCTAAAAGTGAAGTAAACTTTGGCATCTGGCGTTTAGATTTTTCGTCGGCGTCTAAAGTGAATCTCCCACGTTCGTAAAATATTCGAATACTGGTAGGTCCTCGACTGGTTTTAACACTAATTGTATATAGATATTTGGAATCCGAACTATCACGTACTAAAAATGTTCCAACTGGACATGATTTTAAAATTAGTTTTGCCTCCGTACTGCCAATATTTTGATGGTAAAAACATCCAAAATATAATGTGTACCTTGTTCCTATATGTACATAAAGATCTTTTTCGCAGTAATATGTGTCGGAATGTTTGTGTAACGCCGACGTTCTGCCTGAGGATCGTACATGGCCGGTTTTGGTGTCGTCGGCATTCTCGTTACCGTCGGATTGTTGTACGTTGTGCCGACAGGCCATATGAAGACTCTCTACACACACGGGTCCGCCCATATGGTTATCTGGGTTTGAAGTTGAAATAATAACGTTATATAAACCTAACAATTTATCTCTCCAATCCGCTATTACTTATGTATCACAAATGTCAACAAAATTCCTATTAACTTATCCAGTAATTAGATAAAAATATTATCATTAATATTTCAGTTAAACGATCACTTCAGCTCTGCGTAGCAATTTAATAAATTCCAAGCACAAATCTCTTATTTATACAACGTTACTGATTTACCAAGAACAGAATTCATATATGTGTTTAGATACGGCCTCGATACCGAGAAACTGTTCTACGTACTTCTCGGAATTCTATAAATAACATTAGGTTACGGAATTTCATAAATCTATAAATAGAATTATAATATCAATTGTTCGTTTTTCACTTTAAAGGCTAAATAACACATTATTAGATTATCAATTTACATTTCAGTATATTTGTAACATATGTCCAACCTTAACTTTCATATTCCGAGTCTATTAACAATGCGAGAATGCACTATCGGTCGATAAATTCGTTTTTCAAAAAAAATGTAGGTCAGAGGACAAGGTGTAGGTCATTTTTCAGTAGCGGATCTTCAGCGGGTTACACCGTTGCACGCAGAGTTTTCTGAAAAATATACTCGCGCTGTATAAAGATACCAAATGCGTGTCAAATTTATGAGAAACATTTTATTCACCCCCTATACATTTTGTGTTGTTTTATTTCAAGCATTTTTTGTGAAAAGGGAAAGGTGGTTGGGGTTTATTTTTTTTTACGATAATTGATAGGTCCACCAGAAAGCATAAGATGATTTTAGAAAATTGTGAATCGAAAATCGAGCTTTTAATGTGAGAGCGGATGTTTTATTTCACAAGACTTATCATTTATTCAAATTTTTAAAAAATGAAATACTTAAGACGTTTTGAAAAAAAAAACAAAAAAAAACTGCATTGCTCTAAATTTAGCTATTACGGACATTAGGCCCTAATTTGTCGGTTTTCAGGAAAACAGAATTCTAAGAATAAATGTAAGGGGTGTTTTATAATAACTCGAACCGCAATCATTTTGGAGATCTGCGGTCATTATGCTTGTGGTACAATGTAATGAAAGGCGTGTAAGTCGCAGTGAAGGTAGGGTGGAAGATCACATAAAATTAATCCCAACGGTGCCCACCATTCCCACGCCCCCGTCCCATCTGCTCCCTCTTTGACGGCTTTAACAAGGGCCGTTTAGCAAGGAAAGTATAAACACTAAATTCACACTACTGAAGGGAGGGGGTGTTATCATACCGGACCGGCACACAAACTTAGTAATAAATGAATTTTGAACGACTTTTTATCATTACAAGATAGACTTAAAATTATGTAAAGTGGCAAGGTAAAGTTTAGACTTAAAGGTTTAGATAATAATTCCTTGTACTATTAATGTTTGCTCGCCAAAGTCATAAGATTTTCGAAAAAGGAAGCTTTTTTCCTCACTATTTTTTTGCCGTTATGGGCCTGAGTCTTAATCTGATCTTTTCAAGTACGATCTTTTATTTTTTGTTTCATTTCTCTTTTTCTTCTTTTTTTCATCTTTAATTAATGATATTTTGTCGTTCTCTATTCTTTGAGACATTATTTATTATTATTATTATAATCATGTCCCAACATTTTTCATTTTAAGAGGGACTGCAAAAATGTTCGGGAAACTTGATGAAGTTACCTGTTATTGTATTCAACATATCGATGTTTAGGTCTAACTTAACTATTATTTCTATAGTTCTGAAATATTGTATTAATGTATTTGATTCTATTTTAATCGCGTTTATTCTGTTTCAGTTTCATTTCTATGTTCACGACTTAGATATGAGAAACGAAAACTAAGCACGTGATCAACACATAAGGCAACTACATCCAGAAAGCTAGCAATTTGAACCCCAATCTTCCTTAATCTTTTTTCTAAAGAATCAATTTCTCAAAATTAGATGATGACGTCAGTTTTGAATTAAGTTCACCCCATAACCCGACATTGATTATTTAGTTTCGGTTTAACAAGAAAATAAAAGCTGAAACCAATTCATGTATTAATAATAATGTATGCATTTTACTTTTTATAAAACTGTTAAAGAAGCCTTCATATTTTTCATATTTTGAAACAAGTGATAATTGCTTTGTTAATTTGTAAATTGATATTTTTCTCTCTTAAGATCTGAGAAATTGCATAAAAATATGCATTACTCAATCGTTACCGCAAAATGCATTGATGTATTACTTTTAACAATCCCTTATCAGTGGTATAGGACATTTCAATGGGGATAACCCCACTATCATTTTTTTTTCAAAATTATTTGCCCTTGGACTCAACAAACATGTACTTCTTTAGCAAAATATTCATATATAATGATTTTTGATAATGATCAAGAAATAATGAAATAAAAAGATAATTCCCCCCCCCTTTTTTATGAAGTATGAAATGGTTGAATATGTTAAACATTTATACATATATTTATAAAGAAAAACAAACAAAGCCACCATTTGGTTTAGAAAAACGCAACCGGTTCTAAATAGAGATGTTAGTTTTAAAATGTTCAAAATTAATCACAGGAATTTACGTAAGATTATACAGAAGGAGTTGCGTTCTTCTGGATGGGATAGGTGTTCGGACCACAGGGAAGGTTTTAATGTACATGTCCATGACAATTAACCACAAGTATGATCGTGGTTATTGATATCGTGTAATTATTTGGTCAGTGGGTTTGGTTTTACGGCGAATCAACACAAATAAATTACACTGGTTTTTGTGTGGTTAAATTTCGGAAAGAAATAGTATGTCAAAAAAATGAATTTCTTACAGAGAAAGCATTTTATACCTGGAATTGAGAAATAAAAACTGGGGATCTAAATATTCTGACGTAACATCAAGCCAGTATTATTTCTATGGTAATTTTCCTTTGTTAAAAAAACTGACAAATTCTGTTTGGAAACTGGGTATATACTCGCACGATAACTGAAAGATAGTGAAAATTTCCTGAATGTTGAAAAACTGATGTTAGTCAAATTTAAGGAGTCGGCATTACATTATTTTTTCCAAGAGATCAGTTCCATTAAGTTTGAAAGATATTTTTTTTATCTAAAGTTATTTTTTTATTTATCTATACTTCTTTCTTAATTCATTTTCTTAATTTATTTTTTGCTTTACCTTTTATTAGGGAACTAATTTGGGGAATTTTCCCAGTATTGTACTTATATAAATGAAATATTGAGAAATATTGATGAAATGAAAAGCGTATTTACATTTTCCGTATTTTTACTGTACACATTTTATTTTTCACTTTTGAAACAGTGAAACATATTTTCGATATTTTCACTAGCGTTTTGTCAGACTACTCACTTCTTAATTCGGCCAATTCACAGAGTTAAAGGAGAAGTATTTCCAATTGTAAGGTCAAAAAAGGGAAAAAAGTATATAATAAAAAGAACATTCAACTTTTTACAGTAAATACGGAATTTATTTTCATCTTGTGATATGAAAATTACCATACTTCACTCGTGGCTATACCATCACTTAACTCGATGAAAACAAACCCTTTTTATATTTTTTCTGTACGAAATCTGTTGTGGTCATAGTATTATTTTTACAATAGGTTTATCTCTTAGATTTGGTTTGCTAAATTGCTAATCATGGTCATGCAACTACATAGTTAGTTGAAGAAGCAGGCGCTTGTTTTGGTTGAGTCTATTATGTTTTGTTTAGGGGGTTGAGTTGTCATACACAAATTTACAATTTATATGCATTTATTTTTTTCCAATGATTGTTATTATCTTAAATGCTTCTGGGATTGTTGTTTTATCAATTCATTTGTAAATAAGATTGTTATAATATGTGTATTAACGAAATAATTTTAATGAACACGAAATTAGTTCACACCTGCATGTGTATTGGTAACGTGATGGTTTAAGCTAATGAAAACACGTCAATATTATTATACTCAGGCAGAGAAAAAGTGTGCAAAGAGTAAATCGATAATCTTTATGTAGCCAGCAAACTTTGAATTGCAAGTATTTTTTCATATCTTTTCGGCAGAATAAACTTTTCGAGGATTCGTATCGTAAAATGGCTGCCATTTAACAGTATCAAGTGATTATCCCAAGCACCACCGCGACTTAGCGCGGGAATTTTAATTATAGCTAACCTCGGCGCGTATACCTTTTTCATATTTTATTGTAATAAATATTTACAAACTGTGTCTTTCGGGTTTTTTTTATCAATATATACCCAATAATGAGGTTAATATGAATAAATAATCATATCTCAAATCTTTGACAATGATTTACAATGAAATTCCACCTTAAGTGTATTAAAAAGTTTTTAATTTCCTGTAATTTTATTTTGTGATTATGCTTCAAAGCAGTCAATTGACCGTGAATTTTCTTTTCATATTTTGATTTCCTTGAAATCATTTTCTCATCTGAAGGCATGCAACTTTAATATGGTGATACATTAATTACATTCCATGAAAATGTTTAAAGATATAAAATATCTCATGACATGTTTGTTCATTTTACATTACACCTTAAATTCAGCAAACATAAAGTCTTCACAAAAAGTAGTATGCAATCGTACCTATATTACATACGAATGTATGTAATATTTTTCTTGTTATTTACAGACTTACTTTGCACTTAAGAGAAGCAACAATCTCCAAACAAGAGACTTTTTCACAAAGTCTTGAACTATGAATATAAAGTGATTGCTTACGGAAGCTTATCAGGGCCTCCACTTATCTAAAAGTTTCACGTCATGTAAACTTGTTTCTTCTCGTTTTGACCAAAAACATTCCATGAAGACGTTATGATTAATACGTAATACATAAAACATTCCATGAAGAAGTTATGATTAATACGTAATACGTAGAAGTTTTTAATCATTGCAAAAAAACTTTGTTGAATTACGTGAGCTATTTGTCAATGCGAGTAACGTCTTTGCGTCTTACTAAATATTTCAGCAAAGTCGTGAAATCAAGAAGTTTCGACAGGATTTTTGTCGAAGAGACAAAAGCTTCAAGCATATCGAGAAAAATTCAGTTGCAATGCCTAAAAGCTTCTCATCTTTGTCAGTAAATTTTATTGAGAAATGCAAAAACATCTTATCAATGCGAATAAAAATAAGTCGACTTAGCGCAAAACATCTCACCAACTGTAGGCCCGGATACGCTTCCGTAATTGCTTTACTTTTTACAAAAAATGTGGAACAGTTGTCTTAGTATGTTTTACTGTGTTACTTACCTGTCTAATTAGAATTATCGTGTATTGACTATATTAGAGAACAGTTATATTTCGAAAAATATGCCACTAAATGCATTTTTGTCAGGGCACATCAAGTTTCTTATCCTTATTAATTATTTTAGTATTGTATTTCTCCAATACTGACAGACGAAAATTTTATTTAAGATATAATTTTTGATTTCATCATTTCAAATCATCACTGATTTATGAATGTTAATATATGTATATGTAAATCATTAGT